TGAAGAGCTAGGAATCATCGCCGGCCAATGCTTCGAGTGCTTTCTCTCATTGGGTCTGTTTGATATGGTGGCGGCATGGTGCTTGCGGTGGATGGGAAGGAGATGGATCACCTCGTAGTTCTCTGAGGGTAAAGGAAGAAAATAGGACAATGGGATTTTTCTTTTGGTTTCCCGAGGATAAACTTATGCTCTAGGGTCTAATTGTGATTAATTTGGGGATTGAATGGTGAGAGGTGGTGTGGGGAGTAACGGGTGGAGAGTGGGGAATTTCCTTTTTTTTTATAAAAATTAATAATAATAACGTTATTATTATGATTAAGTTGAATGGGAACGTGAAGGGGATGATGATGATAATAATACTAATCATAATAATAATAACGTTATTGTTATGATTATTCTTAATTCACGGCTGCACCCTTTTGTACGTAATCGTCGATCCAATCGTTATGTCGAACATATACCTAAATTTGGGGGTGTTACATCATGGTCGTAAGACCATGAACTGAAGCCATGGACCGCGAACTCAATAAATGAAAGCGGTGCATTTTGGCTGTGTTCACGGTCCAGGCCAGATGTTCACGACCGTGAACTGGTACCGGGAACTAGGCTCGATCAGTGTATAAAAGGAGAGTTGAAAGGAAGAAGAAAAGGGAAGCCCTAAAGTGAGAGAAACCTTCTTTTTCTTGAAACCCTAGAGAGAGAAAGTCATGAACCAAGAGGGAGAAGAGGCTAGGGTTTGCTCCAAGTTAAGAATTGGAAAGTTCCTCTTCAAGGGAAAGAGGCTCGGCGTTTACGAAGGAAAGCAGCCCGATGTGTTATTATGGAGGGAATGTTGTACAAGAGATCCCACTCGGGAGCCTACCTACGTTGCCTCACGGAAGCTGAAGGACAAAAGGTCATCGCGGAAGTGCATCAAGGAACGTGTGGAATGCACGCAGGCGCTCGCAGTCTGGAGAAAGTATTGCTCAGACAAGGATATTATTGGCCGACAATGAGGGCTGACGCTGGAAAGCACGTGGCCACGTGCCACCAGTGCCAAATCCATGACAATGATATACATATACCAGCGGCGCCCATGCAAGGGAACGTAGGTGCCTGGCCTTTTGCCCAGTGGGGGATGGATCTTCTTGGGCCCTTCCCCAAGGCGCCTAGGCAATTCAAGTACTTAATTGTTGCCATCGATTATTTCACCAAGTGGATTGAGGCAGAACCGCTTGCGTCCATCACGGAAGTGCAAGTGCGAAAGTTTACAAGAAAGAACATCTTCACAAGGTTCTAGCTGCCGGAGTCGATCATCACCGATCACGGAAAGCAGTTTGATTGCAAAAAGTTCATTGACTTCTGCGACGAAAATGGAGTGGTCCTGAGGTTCTCTTCTGTAGCTTATCCACAAGAAAATGGACAAGCTGAAGCAGCCAACAAAAGTATATTGCATGGGCTACATACTAGGCTCGAAGAAGCCAAGGGAAACTGGGTAGAGGAGCTGCCAAGCGTGTTATGGGCGCATAGAACCACCTTCAAAGTTGCAACGAGGGAAACACCCTTTGCGCTGACGTATGGAAGTGAAGCGGTGCTACCGGTAGAAGTTCGCATCCCGACCTTTCGAATGACACATAGGGAGGAGTCCATGGAGGGCAGGAGCGGATCTATCAGCTTGATCTCCTTGATGAGCGCCAAGATAGGGCGGCCCTGCGTCTGGAGGCGATGAAGTCACAGGTGGCCAGATATTACAACAAGAAGATGCGCCCGCATGACATTGTAGCTGGGAGCTTGGTGCTGAAGCGTGATTTTCGCCCAAAGGACACTGATGGAAAAATGGCTCTAAAATGGAAGGGGCCATATCGCGTGCAAGAGGTAGTTGGCCCGGGCACAATTAAGTTGGAACATTTATCGGGCAAAAAGGTAAAGAGAACTTGGAACGCACAGAACCTACGAAAGTATGGGTTTTTGGAGGCTGTTATGGCAGGAGAAGAGGATAGGGTGCCAGAAGGGGCGCCTAGCGAGTGGTAATTGCAAGAGAAGGCTCCAAACCTTGGGGTGTTTTTTGGTAGGTGTAGGCAAAAGCGCCCTTATGCGCCTGTAGTATTTGGGTAAAGCGCCCTTCAGCGCCCGGGATACTTAAAGCGCCCGGTAATAGCGCCCCAAGGTTGTTTTTGGAATCGGATTATATATACATATATACTTTTTTGATGAATTGCAAAGTGGGACATGGTGATGCAAAATGAAAATCAAGCGCTCTGCATGTCTTTAACTATCCTATAGCACCAAATCATTGTGCCCTTAATGCGCCCAACACCCATAACGCGCCCTCGCACCAAGTTATTGTGCCCTCAATTTTCCCATAGCACCAAATTATTGTGCCCTTAATGCGCCCCCCCACCCCCTTGGGCCCAGATCATTATGCCACTTGCGCCATAGCAAAAATATAATAAGATGCGGCAATAAAACCTCAATATGGCCAAGGCGCTTGTTCTTACGACAGTGAGCAAAATAGAAGATAGGCACGAAAAGATAAGTATGGCAAAACATGTAAACAACAGGCGTCCCAATTTTTATGTCCAAGCGCTAAATAAAATTGTGCCATAGAATAATCCTATTCACCGCTAGCTGACTCATCGCTAGACTCTGAACTTGACCCCTAGTCTTCTTCTTCGTCCACCGGATCCTGGGGAGGCGCAGGAGCTTGATCCACGACTGGGCGCCCGCTGGCCATGAAGTCAATGACGAAATTGACCATCTCCTTGACATCCCAGCTGATAGTGGGATGGTCAGCCTCCAACTTCCTCTTCAAAATGACAATGCTGTTGAGGGATGCCTGCGCCTTAAGCGCCATGTCCGAGGCATGCGCCTCCAATGTCGCTTTCTCTTTCCTAAGCGCCTCCAACTCCTCCTGGCGCCTCTTATTTTCTTTCTCCATAACCTTCTTCTCCTTCCGCAAAGCTTTCTTTTCTTCAAGGAGGAGGTCAATCTCGCTCCTTTGGGCGCCCGTCTCCTTGTCTAGATCGGCCTTCTCCTTCACGAGCTTGGCCATCTCCTCATGATGCGCCCTGTTGACAATCTCAAGTTGGGCTTCATGCTCTAACCGCAACTTCCTCTTGTCCTCATCCATCGCCTGTTGGACGAGGGAGGCAGCCTTTGCTGCCTCAAGGTTGGCATCCTCGCACGCCTGCACCAGCTCTGCTTGGCGCCTCTGCGCCGTCTCCAGGTCGTCCCACATCACGCCGAGGGAGGCAGAGGACTCCGCCTCTCCAACGCGTAGCGCCTCACCAGCCAAGGCGCCATTTTTTGCAAGCAGGAGCATCTAAAAAAAAAGTTAGCAAACATGTGCACAAGTCTAGAAGGAAGAAAGCGTGTTAGGCGCATACCTGGGAAGCCAAGCGCGCCACCTCTCCCCACAAGTTAGCGCCTTGAACTTCACTAGGAGCCATAAAAACCTCGGCTGCTTGAAAGGCAAACCCAAGCGCAGGACCCCTCTCCAACGCAGACCTGTCCGAGCAGGTAATGTCGACCTTATGTTTGGGCGGTTGCAGCCACTTCTCAACGAACTCGAGAACTTTGGCCTCCGCGCTTGTGCGCTGCTTCTTGCTATGCACCGACACACCATCTTCGGCCTTCCTCTTGAGTTTTAGCCCAAGGGGGACGTCGTCAATGTCCAACTCGGGGTCAGAAACAACGTCAATAGTGAGCGCCCCCTTCTCCGGTTGAACGCTTGGAGGCGCAACCTCTTCCTCCACGAGCGGGGCACTTGGCACTTTCCGCGGCTTGATCATTCTGGGGCTTGAGCGGCCCTTTCCTTTGCTTGCAGAGGCGGCAAGCGCATTTGTGTCAACTTGAGTCTCCGCTCCGGTAGAGGAAGACTTAACCTTTCCCCTCTTCGACAAGTCTTTCTTCGGGCGGGAGGGCGCCTTGCCTTGGAAAACAGGCGCTTGATAATCCGGACCCATATTCTCAAGCTGGGTCTTCATCAGCGAGGCGATAGAAGTGAAATCCACGCCTGCGATAGAAAATACACGATTCAACAAAGTTACGATGACTTCATGCATAGACAAAGTAACACAGGCGCGTGTAATTTGCGGCGACACAAATACGCTACTAAGCGCCTACCCACCGTCAGCATAATACTCATGCAACACAGGGGTTCGAGCGGCTGTGGAACTTAAGTTCACTAAGTGAACGGAAAGCAGGCGCGCGTGCTCCTTCTCAACACTAGTTAAATCCACGTCTTGAATTGCGTGGTACTGCCAACTTTCCAACGCCGGGTGAAGCAAGCGCCACTCTCATAAAACGAATCCGCGCGCGCCTTAATGAAAAAGTAGGCCCTATACTATTCTCGCCCCAACTTCGGACAATCTTGTACAAAATGTTCGGGAATGTCCAGGCGCCTCTGTAATGACAGCAGTTGTCACTGCTGGTCATCGTAAAAAAATATCCGAAAAGCTTGAACGTGGGCACGATATTGTTTTGACGAGACTTCAGCCTGAACAAGGTATGTATCAAGAAAACTGAGGGCGATAGGCGCCCAAGTGAACATGCGCATGTCTCGAGGATCCCTTCTAAGATTGAATCCAGGGGGAAGCGCAACTCGAACCTGAAATACTCCCTGTATATGCCAAGCTAGCGCGGGCCAACCACTCCTACCCTGGCAACCGGTGAGGCAGGGGCATAGGCCCAGGTGCGAGGCATGTTGCACGCAATAATCAGTCGATGCAATTCAGCTATCTTGACAGTAGACACATGTTTCGGCCCGGCTCTGGCCACAGATAACTTGCCGGTGCTTTCAGGCGCTCCCCCCTGGGGCCATGTGCCTTCCCAATCAATTATCTTGAAAGAACCGTCTTCAGGGGTGCCTGAAACAGTGGATGCCGGAGAAACCGCCAATTCACTCGACTCTGACAAGGTAGGCGCGGAGCCTAAAAGCGATCCAATCGTCCTTGGTCAATAATACGGGCCTAAGACCGCTAGTGGGCGCCTAGCAAAGGATCAAAGCAAATGCAAAAAGTTCAGAGAGGAAAGGGAAAAGGAAAATTACCCTGGTTGGTGTAGGAGGGCGCAGGAGTAGAGGTTGCAGGCGTCTTCGAGGCCTTGGCCGCCGCGGGCGCGTTCGAGGCTGTCGTAGCTGTCGGCGCCTCTGCTTCGATGGGCTCAGACGGGGATGGGCCAGATTTCGCCTTCTTAGGCGCCTCCATCTTAGAGCGAGGCGCCCATGGTTCATGATCGCGAAGGGGGTCGGGGGACAGGTGCCCCTCGAGCACTTTGATCACGTCGGGCGCGGCGCTTCCTCCCTTCTCGGTGGTGGTGTTGGTCACGCCGGAATCGGATTGAGACATGATTGGCGAAGTAGGCACACAGACGAAATTTGCTTGGGGAAAGGAGGCGCACAGACGAAAGAGGAGCAGAGCACGTAGAGAGAGAAACTAGAGAGAGAATCAAATTCGGCATCGAATGAAGAGGAGAGGGGGTGGAATGTTTATATTTATAAGAAGGGAGTGGAGGAGTCTGCCTCGAGATGTGCGCACGCTAAACAGCTAGATCCTCGCCGTTCGTTTCGAATTTTGAATATTGAATTCGAATTTTGAAATTCAAAATTTGAAACGAACGCCGAAAGGGGGGGAGAGAGGTACGTTCGCGAGCCTTATTTTTATTCAAGGAGGTAAAGGGTCACAAACAGGCACCCGGTAGATATAAAACTCAACGGTAATGGTCGAGGGGTAAAAAGCATGTGCCTATGTCAGTGAACACTTTTGTGTGAGCAAGGGTAAGCGCCCTATGTTGAAGGGGAGGTCAAGTATTGGTGGGTCCAAACAGGCGCATTGGACATGTCGGGTTCGGCTGAATGGGCCAGAACCGGATGTCAAGCGCAGAAAGTCGCAGTACATGGTGAGGGGGGCAAAGTGGTGCCAGACGCCCCTCTGATTGGACAGGCACCTATATCAAGGACATTGGACGAAGGAGGCTAACTCACGACAGGCGCTTGCTAAGATCCCTGGCGAAGACGAATGATAAATGTGCGGCTTAGCAGAGTCCCACGCGCCAAGGTATTTCGTTCAAAGTTAGGCACTCACCTGTGTAACATCCCGTTCCGGCAAAACCCATATTTCGATCGCTAGAAAATTTCACGATTTAAAATCGAGCATTTCGACACTTTTTCGACGAAAATTGGATTATCGATCGATCGGATAAGTATACGTATTAATTATATATATAATTTATTATATATATATATATATATAATTTATTATATATATATATATATAATTACATAGCGGCCGGGCGCATATATATTAAATTTCCCCCGTACATTTATCTCCACCATCATTTTACATTCTCCACCGAGAGGAAACCGGAAGCAGAGCGAGCAGAGCGCTCGACAGAGAATTTCTCAGGCTCAAAATCTTGAGCCTTAGTGATCCAAAAATCCCGAATTTCTTGAATTCTCGATAAGCCAAATTAGGGTTTGGAGTATCCGGAAGCCAGATTGAGCCCAAATTTCATATACGAGCTTCCTGCCGCGAGGGGATATTAGGACGGTCTCGGATTTTAATTCGGGGTTCGTTCGTGAAATTGACGTTTTAGTACGGGAAGGTTAAATCGGGGTTTGAACGACCAGAACTGGTGAGGGATTAGCACGGCATACCGGGTTTGTCGTATCACGATAATTATATTGATGCTTAGAATTGATCTAGGTGAACTAGAATGGCATGATTAGGGGTGTATGAACTTTTGTGCTATATGTTGAACCCTGGATTGCTGTATGATATTATTGACTTCCCCTAATCGATATGAACCTTGTTTATGCTGATGATGGTGTATATGTTGCAAATTGTGGACTTGACTGTTGATATGCCTTATGATGGTTCGGAAAGGTGATTGGGTATGATTTTTCATGATTGTTGTATTTGGATGCACAAGTGGGAAAATATATATTTTCCCTGGTGATATTATGATGTTTTAAGGAGGATGACTTGCACGAGGGTTTATCCCGAGGAAGTGCAATTATACGACTCCTGGTTATGTTGAGCCAATTGTGGCCAGGTCAAGAACATGTCCAAGTAACAAATTATGGTTAAGCAAGATGAGATATGAATCATGTACAAGGATACCAAATATGAATGTTGTGGTCTCACGGTCAACTACATAGTAATTAGGGCTCCCTATGCTATTACTCTATTATGATATGTATGATAGTCACACCTCTCATGTGGTGGTGACTGAAGAACTCTTACGAGATATGACCACACCCAAAGCGGTGTCGGGGTATGACTACACCCATAGTGGTGTGGGGTATGTATGACCACATCCGACGGGATGTTGGGGTATGTATAACTACATCCGACGGGATGTGGGGTATGTTTCCCGGGAGAGTTATTAGCATGGGAGTAGCCAGGCGCCTATAAGTAAAACATAATAAGATGCATATGCATAAGTCAAGGTGGTTGAGTCTTTTGCCTATTGGGATTTGAGGATGGCTGAGGTCCGATCCTAGTGTTTTGGCTTGATTGTTAGATGTATGATAGGGGGGTATGCTCTGTTATGAACTCACGATGCTATGATTATCTCACTCAGCTATGAGCTGACCCTCTTTTATTCTTCTTCTCTGCTTATGCCGTGTGTAAGCAGATCATCAGCAGCAGTAGATAGGTGTATAGGTGGGAGCTGAGCAAGAGTTGAAGGCAAGATGAGTTATGGTCTTCAACCATTCTGTGCTTGGACTACTACTCGGGATTTTGGCCAGTGATCCACACCGTTTTTGTAAAAATGTTTTGAGAACGTTTTTCATGTGCATACTAGCTTCTGATCTAGTGTGAGATATCCACAGGTGTGGAAAGTTAATGATATGTGTATATGTTGTGTAACTGTGTAAGTTGTGACGATTATGGTATGTATAAGTATGGTATGCAGTTGTGGAATATGAAAAGTGTGACTATGGCTAAGAAAAGCCAATGCATATGGTTGTGAGTATATATGTTTGTCATTAAATGCATGGATTCAGATAAATTATTTTGCAGGTTTAAGTTGCAAGAACTGTTAGCCCATTACGCGAGTAATTCATGTCGAAATTTTATTTAGGTAAATTTTGATAATTAATGTAACACCCGAGATTAATTTCGCTGCAATTGTATGAACAATATGATTAGGCAAAACCTATAGGGTAGGGTGTTACAGTTTGGTATCAGAGCCCGGTTCCCTCTTTTTGCTGTTATGGCGTACTATACCCTATGGGAGGTTAAACACTCCTAAGGAGGGGAGTACCCCATAATGACTTAAACTGGGAATTGAGTTTGACATGATTATGTGTATTGGTATGTTGGATGAAATTATCTGCATCATGGTTTTCAAAATTGAGTTTTGAACTTCTATGTTTTCAAGTAATTATTTTGGAAAATTTTTGGTTTAACCAAGTGAGAAATTTGGTGAGGAATGAATTTTGTGTGGATCAATCTAAGGCCAATATTTCCTTGTAGCTCGCACGGAAGTTGTCATAATGTTCCTACTGACCAGTCGAGAGGAGTGGGGGCGGTTGATGCAAGACCGCCAGTATTAGATTATGCAAAGATGAAGAGTTTGGGTGGTAGGGACTTTCAGGGAGATGTGAGCCCAGATGCTGTAGTAGAGTGGTTGAGAGAGATGGAAGATGTGTTTGAGTATCTTTATGCAACCCCAGAGGAAAAAGTGCAATATGTTGTTTTTCTCCTAAAGGGGTATGCGAGGAGCTGGTGGTCCTCAGTCTCTAGAGTTAATGGTGAACGAGTTCAGTTCACCTGGGAGGAGTTTCTGAAGGCCTTTAAGACAGAGTTTCTTCCCGAAGCTTTTATCAGGGCAAAGAACAATGAATTTGCCAACCTTAAGCAGGAGAATATGACAGTTACTGAGTACACCATCAAGTTTGTTCGACTGCTTTACTTTGAGGATGGGTTGGCGGATACTGAGCATAAGAAGAAGATGAGATACTTGCATGGTCTGCGCATAGGGTTGAAAGAAAAGGTCCACAGGGTTGATGAAGAGAGTATGGCCACAATCAAGGAGGCAGCACTTAAGTATGAAGCCTATGAAGTTGAGAGCCGAGAGAAACACAAGGCCAAAGAAGAGGAGAAGAAGAGGAAGTTTGGAGTAAATTATGCTGGACCTCGTTACCCACCCAGGAGAGGTCCTAGCAGTTTTGGGAGAACATCGAGTCAATCTATGTCAGGAACATCATACAGGGCACCAATTTCCTCAGCCACACAATTTCCATTTTGTCAAGTTTTTCAGAAGAGGCATCCTGGAGAGTGTAGGAGATTTTCTGGTGTATGCTTTCACTGTGGCCAACCTGGGCACATCATGAGGGATTGCCCGCATTCGAGAGAAGTAAGAGCTACACAGTCAGAGCCTTCAGTGCACATTAGTAGAGCCCCATTCAGGGGTGGTTACCAGGGAGGCCGTAGTGGATTTCAGAGTGGTCGTGGTGGTTCACAGGGTGGTAGAGGTGGTGGTCGAAATCAGCCATCAGGAAGTGGTACGCAGGGTACCAGAGCACAGGGAGCACCGAGGGTTTATGCAATGACTCGAGGTGAGGCAGAAGTGGCACCAGAAGTTGTAACTGGTATGCTTTCTATCCTTGGCAAGCAATTATATGCTTTGATCGATACTGGTTCCTCTCACTCATTCATGTCATATACATTTGCACATATGCTACGCTTAGTTCCAGATAAGCTAGGTTATACCTTATGTGTTAAAACACCTATGGGAGATACCTTGAAGGTAGACTCAGTTATTAGAAGTTCCTTCATTTGTGTGGAAGGAGCTTTCCTAGCAGCGGATTTAATTCTGCTACCTTTTGATGAATTCGATGTCATCCTTGGAATGGACTTTCTGGCAACACATGGAGCTGTTGTGGATTGTCAAAAGAAAGAAGTGTTATTCAGCACACCAGATAAAGGTCCTGTTGTATTCCGAGGCATTAAGAAAAAGGAGACTCATGGTTTTCTTTCTGCCTTGGAAGCTTTTCGATTAGTGAAGGAAGGTTGTGAAGCCTTTCTTGCTCAAGTTACTATAGTAAATGATAAGAAGGTTGAGGATGTAGAGGTGGTAAGGGAATTTCCTGATGTATTCCCCGAAGAACTTCCCGGCCTTCCACCAGAAAGGGAAGTAGAGTTTGATATTGAATTGGTACCTGGCACAACACCAATTTCAATGGCACCATATAGAATGGCACCAATTGAGCTGAAGGAGCTTAAAGAACAATTGCAAGAATTGTTAGACAAGGGGTTTATTCGACCTAGCATCTCACCTTGGGGTGCACCGGTTTTGTTTGTCAAGAAGAAAGATGGTTCCATGAGAATGTGCATTG